TATTCACATAGGTTTCAAATCTGTAATCACTATAGCCATCAGTTTTCATTACCAAAAGACCTCTTAAAATGGAATTATTCCGCTCTACTACATATACATTCTTTCAATGAGCAAACACATTCGGCGGGGGATGGCCATGTTGACATGGCTCTTGTTAAGACCTGAAATAAAAACCTTACATCTTATTAAAATTACTGGAAGATGTTTAGGTACATTGTAATAATGATGTTGTTTGTTTCTATCACCAACTGTGTACGAATGTGCTGGTTTTATGATTTTTATCTTTAAATAAAGATTGATTATACATACTGAAATAAACAGTGGCTTCTTGTTTATATTGCACTCCATATATACCCATACAGGTTGCAGGATTGGACCAAGAGGTTGCAGGTTTAAACCCTAGGATTTGTAGGTTTGAGCTTAGAGATTGTAGGTTTGAGTCCAGAAGTTGCAGGTTTAAACCAAGAGGTTGCCTGTTTTAGCCTAAAGGTTGTAGGGTTGAACCCAGACTGCAGGCTCAATCCTGGGACCAAAATTTGAACCAAGGGACCAGCTCGAGCCTTTAAAGTGAAGGTTACAAGTTTGAGCCATGCTAAAGACATTAGTTGCAGAACCTTTTGATACAGTGAACTATTAAGGCTGGATCTTTGGTCTACTAAATCAACACAGATATTCTGCCATATTAAAAAAACATGAAGGGTTCACTAAATGAAGTAAAATATGTTACATGTAAAGCAGACTTTAAAAGGTCAGAGATTAATATTCAAAGTTAACTTACACAGGGAGGCTTAAATCATTTCATGCTAATTTTCACACAAAAAATACTGAAAATGTATTTAAAATAAGAAATTGTGAAGTAACCAAAATGAAGAAATTGACACATACACATTACAAACAGCACTCGAAACCCTATGTTAATTACCAAAATGAGGTTCAAATCTTTAAAATAACCTTAACCTTTGCGTTACATATGATTATAAATAATCACACATAACATGTAAATTATTATATGTACTTAAATCTTGATTTTTTTACTTTTACATATTTTTTAGGTTTTATATATTGAAAATATTTTTGCTCATCTAGAGGCCTATGTATTTAATCGTGTCAAGTCAAAAGCATTGTTTAATATTTTCCTACATTATTTCAAATAATAATAAAAAAAAACTTGGTATGTGGCAAATATCTGCAATTTAAACTTCAATGTTAAATTTGTGGGAAATTATTTAAACTGCTAACCATGTTGGACCACACAACTTTTATTTGAACTTCAATGCAAACATACACACGTCGGTAAACGAGAGCTACCATTAAAACCCTGTAAAATTCCTCTTAATTTGACAGTAAGTCACGCGCCACTGCACCGCGGTTTGTTTAACCAGTCAGAATACGATTGTGTTCGGGTGTATTCGGTTACCGTAATATGGATGCAAACGGAAACTTAATTAGAAAAAGTCCTAAAATTTAGGAAGATCTGAAGGCTGTGGAAAAGTAACAGGTAGTTACAATTTTCAATTAAACGCCAGATCATTTATATAAATGTTTAAGTGTATTGTACAAGAAGTTTTAGTTTCAACAATGCAAACTTTCGCATTTCTAGTTTAAAGCGCAAGTGGAAATTCGGTCGGTGATTTTGGTTATAAACTGTTAAAAGTTGATAGCTCACATTGCAAGTATTTTTTCCCGGACGTGTGCCTAATTTGTCGCAGAATGAAATATTTAAACTGACTAAAATTATCAAAAAAAAAATAGAAAGTTAACAGCTTTATAAATAAGGTTTAACAATATCCACTTCAATACATATTACAAAAAAATCAGACCTAGACCTTTATGCAATGTATTTCGCGTACTAGTTCTTTGTAATATCTTTCGCATTAAATTAAAAGTTGATATAATCTGTGTCCTTCATTGATTTTATTATTATTATTATTATTGTTGTTGTCTTTGTTGTTGTTGTTGTTTTTATTATTAAACGAAGAGCTTCGGGTTATACCTTAGTGCAGTAAAGGGTTAACTCCAATGAAATTATAGAAAAGAGTTAACCCGTTACTGCACTGAGAGTTTGTAAATAAAGAGAAAACAGGAAAAAATATGTTTGCTCCGTTAAATTTATTCCAATTAATAATTTCTGAAGCGATGGAAAGATTATGACTTGTGAAAATCTGTTGAATTAGAACTAAAGCGTAAATGAAAATTAGAATATTCAATGGAACTTTCGCGAGTGATGGAAAATATGAGTGTGTGGCAAAATACAAAAATCACTTCAACATGAAATTGCCGTTTGTCGTCTGTCACCGCGCAATGCGCGCTTGAAATTTAGTACCGTAGAACCAGATTTTAATGCCTGAATTTCGTTAGAACCTCTTTCCTGAAATAATTTCAATCCTGTAACGCTTTAATCTGCGTTTATATACAAACACTGGCCACTGGTGGTCTAATTTCATGAGGCTTGTCCGCGATCGTAATTTTACTGTGGTCAAGATCTGAGGCTAGCCGCTGGTTTTTGACACTTTGTTATCAATTTCTTCTAGTATTGTACCATTTTTTAACAACTCATTAAACATGGGAACAACTTCGGCCCTCTAGGATACCAGGAAGTCAATCAAATAAAAATCTTAATTTAACAGAAATTTTCAAAAAATTAACATTAAATACAGACAATGATTCCCAGCGTTCTGTCAGAATTCACGCTTCGGCTAGACTTTTACGACATTGTCTCACATTTTACAAATATTGGTTTTAAAAGATGTCTTATTAACTTTTATGTTCTTTAAGTCTACAGTCCTATCGTTGGAATGACAAGTTAGTTTATTTAGTGAAACAGACACCGAGTTTAAAATATAAATAAAAGTGTAGAAACGTTTTTCGATTGTCGTAAAAGGGTAGCCATGTTTGCATGTGACTACTTGATTTTGGAATCTTGCCACAATGTTTTATAAACTGGAGCTGTTATACCGATCAGAGCCGGGAAGAAAACACATAAACCATTGCCCCTGGTGTAAATAAAATATATTTAATTTTCTTGCCGCCAAAGATAACTGTATTTTCACCATATTTGGCAAAAATAACAATTTGCTTTTGCAAGGGTTTAATACGATCACGTTAGTCGTTTATGGAACCATAAAACGCTAGCATCCCTAGGGGAGACGTATTGGCGTTTCGTTGTTTATTTCTACTCAACTTTGTGGTTGTTACACTCTCTTGTAAGACATTGAAAGAAAGAATGTCCATTTTGGATATTCAGAGTGATAATCACATTTGTAACAAACACGGAAGCGAATCTCCATTGTCCAAGTCAGTAATAGAGAGAAAAGTTATGTATAATATGTTGATAAACATGTAGTATAGCTCAAAGAAAATTTATCATATTTTAGATAACTTAGCTTCCGGATAAAATATAATTCCACTATGAAAAATTCATTGCAAATTAATCCATGGTCGTTATTTAGAAAGGAATTAGCAGGAAACGATACGAATTTTATCCAGTTTTAGATCCCTACAGTTTCGTTTCTGTTTTTATTTTTGCAAATTGTTTATTCTTATTTGATCACACGATATTTTTTACACAAGATTCGTTCTAATCCAAATTTCTTTCATTCTTACGCCAACTTAATGTTGCATATAAATTATAGTAAATAAATTTGTAAGAGTTTGGGATATTTCATCATACATCGGATAAAGTTCCGTTATTTGTCGGATAATGTTCCGGTGAATGTCATAATGTCAAACGGCAAACTTTACGCATTTCAAATTGAGTGCATCTTATGCGATAGAGATATAAATTTATATCACTTAAAGTTTATGGAATAATATCATATTTACTGAACATTTCATCTTTAACTTTCGGTTCGGTATTGGAATATTTTTAAGTTTGCTTTTTTGTTCAAGCAAATGGCTTCGCTTAAAACAAAAACATTCAGCATCTCAGTTCATGAAACAGTTTAATCCATATTTTTTATATTAGGGATTTTATCCATTTGCTCTTAAAAAGAACACGATAGAGATTTTAAAGATTTTGATTTTGTGGAAAAAAAACCCCAATAGTTTTTACTTAAATCCAGGGCGATCACGATGTTCATTACCGAGATGTTTATTCTCGCCATAAAAAATTTCTTCATGGGAGGAAAAAACAACAGCCTGTTAATACGAGAACAAAAGTTGGGTTTAATTAAGAAATAGTACGCAGCACTGAGGGCCTAATAGCATTCTAGTGACCGATCAGTCAGCCCGCGAATATTACAATGTTTTGGGCTGACTGAGAAGTTACTGTAATGCTATAAGGTCCAAAGTACTATGCACTATTTCTTATATCATACCGCTCTTTCAGAATAGGGTAAAAGTTGAAAATCGTATTGTTTTATTCACAATATTTCTCGTGTAAAAATGTACTGAAAATTGTTGGCAGTCAGCATAATATCATATTACTCGCATTTTTGTGAAATTGTCCTGACGGTTACACACCGCTAAATTTTAGCGGTCTGACAAAAATATAATAGTGCTCGCTCAGGCTTTTGTCGCTAACGTCATCGTGACTATAATACTATTTTAAGGCCCGCTGACACTTATATAAAGAAGGAATAATTTTGGTTTACTCATTTCGATTGATAAGTTATCCCTTTAATTTGAACTGGGACATACGATATCGTATGATATCGTATGTCCCAGATTTGAACAAGTATGTCCAACTGCCACAAAATAGACAAGACAAGCCCAGACCACAAATTAGGCAAGATAAAAGTTAGATTTCTTGTACTATTAGTAACTACATGGACCTCAATTACTTTATCATCAAGGTAGTGACAATAATTTAAGTCTCTTTGAGACATATGTTGATGTTTCTTTCTGCAAGATAAACAGCGGATGAAAAGCTAAAAGTGAAATGTGTTTTTGGTTTCCGTAGGACATAAAGCAGCATCGGTGCGTGCATGGACTTTTAATTTACCACATCATTAAAAAATCCGTGGTTGGAGTTAAAAATAAACAATGACAATTTACAAGATATTTTATATATATTTCGTAAACTCATTCTCGAGTCACTATAAATAAAACTGTACAAAACAATGTTCATGTACACAAAACAATGGAATGATAATCAGAAAAGAAAAACTTTAAACATAAAAAATAATAATGAAAGAAATATACACGAAATTGCTGAGAATTTGACCGTGGAATGTTATCAAATTAACTGTGAAATATTATTGAATTTTTATACATAATATAAGCTTCCTTTTTCCACATTTTCAGGATAGACTTTTTAAGAACAGTTGTCTAGTTCCAGTTCAACCATAAACCTCTTTTTAAAACGAACTGACCTTCAAATGTAATACATGTTGCGATTTTAATTGAGATTTCCACATAATATATATCCATGAACACATTTTATGACGTAGAACATATTTTTACAAGTTTAAAAGAGTTCTGTACACATAATGTAAGTGTGATTTGGGTCAACAAAATAATTAGTCATATAAATGTATTTGAAAATTTTGTACACTCTATGACTAAATATCTAACGATTTACAAAAAGTAACAAATTAAACACTTATGTACACGATTTGTTCGTTCAAAATCCACATATTTTGCACTTTTATACGTAAAGAGAGCACTTCATCATAAATCATCGTCACAAAATGAGTTCCTTATCCAATTTGAATGCCACTGTAATGGTGCAATATTTATAATTACATGAGATTCAATTTGTGTACAATTCAATAATTGTTTAGTTCTCCGTAGAATCCACCATTCTGCATTGACCTGAACTACATATTTTAATAATTCACTTTTTAAAGAAAACACATTAACGATATACGACAAAAAATAACACCCTGTTTTACGCCATTGGTCCAGGGAAGTTCATGTTCATCATGTGCACATTTGGCGGTGTAAGATGTGACGAATATCCAGAGCCTTGTGTCGTCTGCATATAAGTGCAAGAGGGTAAAGAAGGGTGTTGAGGGGTTGGTGAAGTGCGAAGTCCGTAATTAGAGGTAGAAGACAAATGCGATGTTTGTCTTAGAGCACAGTCTGTGTTGGCTAACGTCGTTCCTGGTAACCTGCATTGTTGCATTTGATTCATGGTCGACAGTGAGTGAAGACTTAGACTAGATGAAACTGCCGACTGTGGTTGTAAAAGGTTTGGGGATGTGGTAACTGGTAAAAACGAGGAATTATTTGACCGATCAACAGGGGAGTGATGAGTATAGTACGACTGCTCGTTGTTTACGCCACTTATTCCACCCATACACGAGGTACCGTAGCTTTTTGCTAATGAGCTACTTGACATAGAACCGTTGTAGTTGCACACGCCCGGATTTCCATTCTGTGGCGGCGGTAACGGTGGTGATTTAGCCTTTACCAATGGGAGGTGCATACCTCCCGACGACCCTGATTTGTTTGCAGAGCACTGGCTCATTTCCGCTTCCGGTAAGTCGTCTGTTGAGCGGTCTGATTTGTTCATGGTGTCTGCTTCGTCTTTTATTTCGCTTTTATGGGATTGTTTTAAATCTAGACTGTCGTCATCGTGCTTCTGTTTCTTACTATAATGTCCGTCTTCTGAAAAATAAACAAAAGAAATCATGAACAGTCTGGTGGGTACTTTAGTAGATCTATGAAAAATATCATGCTGTTTATTTTAAATGTAGGCATTATTTTTAAGGTGTACGCCGATTTTATTCATCTCTCATTATTGATTGGCATTTTATACTGTGCCACTAGAAAATTGTTATTGTTCTTGTTGTTGTTATCAGTTACTCGGGACAATATATTTTGATTAATATGGTATGAAAAGCATCTCTTTTTTAGGCAAGTCGTATATTAAAGCTAATATCATTCCTGCGCATTCTAGATATTGTCTGTCGTAATAAAACATATTTTCTTTTACGTTTTATTGCATCAGACGTGAAACAGCCGTCATAAAGCAGACACATTCAGATCCGAAAAATAAATCCTAATTTTCTCTGAACCGATCTCTCCTAGAACATTTTGAAAGCAATCGTAATCTTTTTTTCCGAAGAAAGACTTGTATTAGCTAATACAATTACTGCGAGCATAGGTGTGAAACGTCGGAACGATACTTCAGCGATCGCAGATGATCTAATTTTGCCAGATCATTAATATTTCAAGAATGACTGCCTAATTGAATCAAGAATGCGGGGATCGAATTTGCCATCTTTCTCTGCGATTACCGTACAAGTAGGTGTGAAGTTAAAATTCACCCTGAGTACAGTTGGCGATGAATCTAACGGGAGTCGTGGCAATTGAATAGCAAAACTTGGAGGAATTATGTTCCAATACGTTCTAAACTTGGCAAGTTTTTCAGGAAGAAGGTGTGGAACAATCAAGCAAGCAGGGTGATACGCAAAAACGGCCAAATTTGCTAATATGCTGTAACAAAAGCGAAAATGTCGCCGGTAGGTCGAGAAAGATTTGTTGTTTTAGCACAAAAACACGGAATTACAGCAGTCTGGTTAAATGAGGTAACATGAAAAATTATATCAATGTGATAAGGTATTTCTCAGGCCCTGTGGTTTTTATGCTTCGCACTTTCTGATAAAGTGATTAGTTACTTGTGGGTTTTTTAGTTTCTTTGGGTTTAATGTAGCAAAATAGTAACAAATGGCTGTAAGAAAATCTATACCAGCATAAAATCGTAGTGTTATTTCCAGGAGATTTTTTAACGCTGTGATATTTTGTGATTTCTTGTTTCTCCAGAATTTATTCCTTTTAGTGATTATTTTTTCCAATTCTTAAACCCGCATTTGCATTAAATGAACCTCATACTTTTAAACATGGTTTTAAAATGCCGTGTAATTCCGTTTTTCCCGTAGATAAATAGATCCTGTTTATTGAATTCCCCATGTCTCTATACTGTTTTAATTAAAGGAAACCTGGACTTTGGGGTCAAACTTTGACGTATTACAAAGTTTTAAAATTCCTACTAATGTCATTTTATCCGCTTTCAAACTTGCGCAGACTGACAGTAACTAGGTTTTCGAAATATATGGCCGTCTGACAGTCATAAATTGACAGACTTTTAATAATTGAAATGTGTTAACGCGGTTTGAACAAAGCTGTACGGACGGCCCATAAACATGTCGGTTTTCGGGAAATTTGGCACGAAGATATAGACTTTAAACATTGCCAATTTGTCCGCGGATGACATTTGCTCGAACGGTTGAAAATTTAAGAGGTTCCGACATTGATGTGTTAGCCGAAGACATGTTAGATGAGGACATGGTTGTAAAAATTGCTTTATTTTTATCAAGACGGATACTTCATTTTTATACACCTAAAATTGTCAAACTTAGACGCTGAGATGCCTCAATTTTCAACGACATTTCATTTTTTTTCTCGAAGCTGGAAAGTCTTACATGTGATGTTAGACGTGGTTGAAAGCACCGTCCTGACAGAAAATGCACAATTTGTTTTTTGTGTCCCAAAATACACATGATGCATGGCATGAAATATGACAATTTCTCATCACAGAGCGAGTACGTGAAAATCGTGCAGAAAATGGATGTGGCAAAATAGCAGACTGTTTTTTGTAAGAAATATAAAGTTAAGATGTATATTTTTATTTATTTATGAACTAAGTTTACCTTTTTCGTAGTCTATTAGATTTTCGTCAGATGGTCTCTTTAATGTAAGCCTATGGTCTCTGAAAAATAAAATGTACAAAAATTATACTTTTTTTACTATATTTTTTTTATATTTCAATGAACGCGAAAAATTTGAATTAAAAAACAAACTGTGATGTCTTAGATTCTGCAAAATGTTATAAAGAAATAATAAATCATAGAGCAAACGTTTTTTACTAGTCACTTTAAAACAAACTCGAGAGATCTTGCCAAAGAAAATATATAAAGAAAAGAACTGAGAATAAATAAAGTAATATTATTTTTATAATTTACTCACAACACGCACCTGCGACCCATTCCATTGTCCCGAAATCCTTTAGCAAAGGGGTTGTGGTCAATTTTAAGTTGTGTAATCTGTAACAATAATTATAAATAGATCGGTCAAATATGAAATACATGGAAAATGCAACATATTTACAAAAAGAAAAAGAAATATTATGAGGCATTTGTCAATTTAATGGTTTTTTGAAATTATAAAATGAATAAAAAAACACGAACTTACTGAAGAAAAAATATAAAACATAAAAAATCTAAACAACAGAAAGAAAACGAAAAAAGGATATTTTTTCCTTTGTTGTAAGCGACCTGATTTTTTTTTTTGGGGGGGGGGGGGGGGTATAGACAAAGAAAATATTGATATTGCATGCGTGGCTATTTTTGCTGGACGTAATAGTTACTCGGGCGGTGCAATTAAGTTGATAAAATATTAATACTGCAATTGGACACTGGGCTAATTGGACAATTGGTGAAGGCTGTAATATTTCATACATGGCCGCAATAAATAAGTGATCTTATGTTTAAGACAAAATACGGCCCGAGATACATATATGATACATATGCATCAAATATTATAAAATCATTACATTGTTGTCTTCAGCCAGTTATCATTTTTTTCCTAATCTAATGCTGCATCTGTTTACATTGTACAAGTAGTAAGACCGAGTATTCCTTAAATATTTTCTATAAATCTAGCATTTATTTGAAAACACATAATATGCTTTTTAAAAAGCATCATTTCCCCCCATTTCTATTTTTTTTAATTCACCATTTTCTCCTGTTTCTAAAATTTTAATAATTTCATTTTCTTTCTTTTTGGTTATTGTATTTTTAGTTATTAACAGCAATTTTGCCAAAATTCAAAGAAATGTACAAGGGTAAAAAGTTAAGCACGTAAAGTAAATAAAATATATAACACATACAAACAGAAGTTACAGAACATTAAAAAATTAAAATAATAAAATAAAAAATAATTATTTAAATAAACAAAGCACAGAGAATACTCGGGTAATTACAAACAAGAAAAGATATGTACCTGTTCATTTTGATAAGCTGTAACAGCAATGAATGTGGTTTCTTCGAACGCGTACGTGTTGAAAGATGTCCATCTCATACTGAATATATCATTAGCCTGAACTATATGTACCCGGGGTTGATACTTGTGCATGGAATTCAAAATAATCTGAAAAATTAAAAAAATAACATAAATTTCACACAAAAATGAATAGTATATTTGGGTTAAAGTTTGTGTCGGGAGAAAACTTATGCATGTATAACTCTAGCAGTAAGATTTTTTTTCTGACAAACTTCGGCCACTTGGTTCTCTGTAATATTTCAATGGAGTAAAGGAATAAACAGGTTATTTTGTTTTTTTACGGCTTCGGGGAAAAATGATAGATGATAAGCTGTCGATTTAATGCACGGTTTTCACGGACATCTGTTCTCGGCGGTACCGTTATAAGGTCGGTCCAGATTTTTAGAATAAATTCCTGTTTCTTTTTGCAGAGAAAATTAAGAAGAATGTCGTTTTGGTTGTTCGGGACCTGCCAAAGGCGAAAAACACCCTATAATTATAACGGTTTAAATTTCGCTGAAGAAAGGGGTGGGAGGGGAACATTTCGCTGAAAATGACAAAGGTCTGTTCAATGCTAATATCTTATAAATCAAAATAATTTTTTAAAGGGACATGCGGAGAATCAGTATCAAAGATGACTCGAAATTGTCGTCTGATGAAACGGCGTATTGAATTCATATTCAATTAATTCGTAATTAGCCCGCTTTTTGATGATTTTCGGCTGTTTTGATTTCTAAAAGCGTTAAACAATGGAATTAATTCCGTCTGTCTTTAACCGATCTCCTTGATTCATAGAGAGGACTGAACGCAAACAAGAAAAATAATATAACTGTGTGATGATAATATATCTTACAAAACTACAATGCGATTTTTGCAAATGTATTTAAAATACACATTGATTTCTTTGAATTTAGTTGTTTTGAACCTAATCTAAGACAAGAATATTTTTTGCAGTTTTTACGGCGTTTATTTTTTTGTTGTTATGAAATAAAAATCTATCTGGCAAAATAGAATAGATAAGAAAGTACGAAAATATATTCTGGATAATGATTGATCTAATAAATTGATTCTGCTCCTCCGCAAAATATTGTACATCAGAGTCAAAACAAAAGGAAAGAATAGCTTTCGCCAAAAAAATAACATTTCAGCTTATAAACCACTTCTCTTTGAAGATGGCTTACAATACCGAAAATGAGTCTTTTGAAAAACCAAAGCAGTCGTAAAATTGTCGTGAAAATGGTAACGCTCCCCCATAATCGTATCGCTTTACGGCAACAACATTCGCTTGAAAGAGTTTTATTTTGGACGAATAAGGGTCTCTCTGATCAGAAATATTCTTAAGAAGAGATCAGTCAATTCTTTAGTAATTAAGGATATTAAAACGGTACTTTTCATTATTCTATCGAAGTCCCGTGGGTTTCCCATCAATTAACCCTTTAGTCTCTGCCAGCGTAAACATTTGGTCGTTATTATAAATGAATTTTCCCTCAATTAATATGTATGTTGAGGGAGTTCTTGATTATTCTGCGCTATCCTGGTTTTGCAGTCTTATTTCACTCAACACGCAAATCGTTCGATTAGTTACCGAAAAATAATTCGTCTAAAAACATTTTGTTTAGACGATTATTTATGTAACGAATTAATTTTATTATTAACTCTACAAACATTTTAAAAAATATTTTCCAAGTTGATCAAAGAAATAGTATTATTATTATCCTTAGATTATTATTATTATTATCTATGAATTATTATATTATTTTCTACCATTAAATGAAAGTTATACATTTGTTAAAAAAATGAATTTTTATTTGTTTTTTTTTTAAGACAAATTCTTGTATTGTTTACATCAAAAATGTGTTCTTAGTAAAAAAAAATGATAAAAAAAACATACTAAGATTGTTAAATAATAAATTTAGCCAAAAATCCTCCCGAAAAAAAGAAGTATTTTCAAAATAGAAATATGGTACATAAAAAGTACAAGAGAATAAAATTTTTATGGAATGAAAACACATATCTGTCAGTTTAAAGTTCCGTATCTATAAGGCCTGGGACATATGTTTAAATTAGAGCAAACTTGTCGAACAAAGCGTCAGCCTTTTTTTATAGAATAGTTATTCAATAATATAAAAAAATATTTCCTGCTTTTGTTTTATTTTCAACTTTTTGCATGAACATTATTTTAAAAGAACCATTTTATTTCCTTCTTTTTACAAACATCATAACTTAAAATCAGAATCATCAAGATTTGTCGTATAAGGTTTGGAAAGTCACGTGTAATTTCTGCTGTTCTAGTCTGCGGGGAATTCCGGAAGTCACAAATGACTCTGGTTCTCTGTCTCAATTCATCAATTTATTTTACGTTCTTCGTTTATATATTTTAATGGGCTGAGAACCGGTCCCTTGGGCCGGAAGTTTCGAATCGTCTGCTGCAATATGTCTTCTGACACGAAAGAACCCAATTTGCTACGGCAGGAGAAATGGCGAATAAAATGAAAAGAAACTTGATTTTAAGCACACGGGAGTGTCAGTCTCAATAAGAAGGGCATAGTTTAGCAAAGAAATGCGAACAGACGACATTGATTTAGCGAGTTGGATCTGCTAAGGAGTATGTACGTGCGTGTGAAGGCGCTGAGAGGGTGAAAAAGAGGTACTCTCTTTATTTTACAAATTCACTTTGGGGTTTGTAGATAAATGGTCATCTGTATAAAGTGTGACAAAACAACATTTCTCTGTTTTCCAAAAGTAGAAATCAATAGCTATAATTTCTTGACAGACCAAACACGAAAGATCCTTGATAGATAAGATAAACACAGTCCCATATCGATATTTCAGAGTTTTAGAAATTTGTTAAAATACAAATTTATAGATTTTTACAAGGGTCATATCTAAGATGTATTGTTGTAGATAAAACAAAAAGAAATAAAATAGTACTTACATGTCCATTCTGATCAAGGTTGTTATTGGTCAACTTCAATTTGTGAAAAGTGACAGGTTGTTTGAGCCAGTGCGAACCGGAAGCTGGGCTGTCCGGGTGTATGTAAAGTCGTCCGGGCATGTGAGGCTCGGCTTTGCCAGTGACAACCCACTCAGAGTTATGGTACTTGTATCTGCAGTCATCTAGGGGCACTATGTCCACGAGAAGAATGTATTTGGAGTGTGGGTCTAGACCCTCGAGACCGACTTTGAGGGTGGGAAACATTCGTCTGAAAGAAGAAAAAAACATAAATTAAATAAAGATTAATTTTGAATTGAAAAAAATGTAAATAACGAAAAAAATAATCATCTCTGGCTGTCACAGTTATTTGCAGACGGACTTCCATAATGTTGGACAATGTTGTTTTTGTTTCTGCTGTGTTATTGTGATCTTTCACGCACCACACCCATTAATATCAATTAACTATACTGTTCAGCGAAGCAACAGTGTCGAATTTTTGTCACTGTTTCTAGTGCTATATTCTGCGGACAAACAGCACGTGTTTGGTATCCCACGTGAGTCTATAATTGTCATGGTACACGTGTCTCTATTTGTACTTGAAGTGTTATCGTTTCTTTAACCAGGGTTGTTAACGACACGTCAGAAGTGTCTGGTGGGCACGTGACCCTGTTGGAAATTATGAAGTTTGGTGTTTAATGTGATCTTCATGACTTTGAAAATACTAAACGTTGTGGCTTTCATGAATTGAATGTTGACCCTAATGACATAAATAGCGCGAACTTTGATCACCTACTTGACTTTGAATTATTTATTTTAAAGCTTTTGAGTTTTTATTTCTAGGCTTTTTGGTCTATCGATCATCAATATACTCAAATAAAGTTGTTTCCAAACAGTATGTATTTTTGTTTTCATTCCAAAGTCATCAAGAATGCTTGATTAATTACTACGCGAACAGAGGTGCTACTTTTAACGCGCCGGAAAGCAGCCGACAAAAGTATCAGTGTAAAAACATCACTTAGCAACAAAAATAATTTCCTAAGACTTCGTAATTATTTATTTAATACGACAACAAATCTCGTACTTATTTCGAGGACAACATTTTGATAGATGTTTGAAATTATGGCGCGCGCCGTATTATTGTTAGAAATTGCCGGAAGGTAAACAAGACGATCAAGCCTTTTGTGACCATGATTGACCTAAATTCTATTCGTCTACTACCTTTGATTTTTCCATAGAATTGTTTTGTTCTGTCAATGAAGGTAGACAAACTATTGACAGACAAGTATAATTGCAATTTATGCGCGATTTGTTGAAACATATTTAATAATATATTTGTATATCAAGCCTTTTTGTAACACTGATTGAACTAAAATCCAGGTGTCTACTGCCCCTGAATTTGGTAAAGACTTGTTTTATTGTTTACTTATGTCCACAAGTGAGTTTGGCTAGACAAACATGTACAATTGCAATTCAAAAACCTGAATTTGAATAAAAATCTAAGTGACAATTATGATACATTTGAGATGTTTTCAATTTTATAAAAAAAAAATACGAATCTTTGTTGTACAAGTAGATTTAAATAAACATTCTCTTCTGTAAAACTTTTTTTTTTCAGGTGTTGTTTTACAGAAATCGAGATTCGAGTTATAAACCTTTGAGACATCCCATTTAAACGACAGCAAGAAAAAAAGAAGAAGAAAAAACATCAATAAAAAAAGAAGAACATTTATAAAAAAACAATAACAAAACAAATAAATACATGTATACAACAAAAGATAACGATAACATTATAATAAGTTAAATGTGGTATCATATTAATTCTAGTACATTTATAAATACCAAAGATATGTACAATTATTATTGTTATTGTCCTTCTTGTCAAATAGTTATTGTCGCGTAAAAAGACAGTGAACAAGGACCTATAAAGGCGTTTTTATTAACAAAAGTCATTTGTTAAAAAGAATTGCTTTCATCAAGATTTGATCTCATTTACGAAATTTCGTCAAAAATGGTGTGAAGTTGTACGGGTATCATGTTAAAATCTACAAATGTTAAATACCCGCCCATTGTTGATTAGATCAGATTCAATTTTATGTTATCTTTGGAAAAGATTAAAGAATTTTCATCTGCATTATTAAAGTCATTTGTTACGCGAATTTTAAGAATTTTGTCCACGGGCAATTTTCGTTTTTGTAAAGCGATACTTTCGGATAACAAATCAAAATTGGCTCGGTTTTAATTCCGATTTTATCGTCTATTAACCATTATAGAGTTTGTGTTATCCGCTGTAATTTCTTTTTCATTAAGATGATAAAAATGTAAATAGTTAAAAACGATTACCCGAGACGAATTCAATTTTCTATTATGCTTTGAGCCATGAAAATTTGTCATTTTGTTCTGGTTTGTTTATTATCTTTTTTTTCTGTGATTAAATGTGCTTTGCAAATGTCTTTAAAATATGTATTACACAGTTTCGGGCAGATCCAAATAAAGAATTACTTTTTGGCGCGGAAGCACATATAATCCGCACAGGCGGGATACCTTTAAATTAAAGGGATGTTGACCAAACTTATGCAACTTTGCCTAAACTTGGTGAAAATCCGCGCTTAATTAGTCCCCATGCTTAACGCCAAATTTGTTACATACGCGAGGGAAGCTGTTCTTTTTGTCACCGTTACGTGAAAAAATTGCGACTGAATTTATGCGATTTTACAGAGACACGTGGACTTTAAATTACTTTTCGGCCAAAAGTGTTTTCCAACATGTCAAAATGAAAAGATTCCTTGTCATAAAGGATTGAAAAGAACACTTGTCCAATTATTAATATTATTCGTTGGACAGGCGCTTTGTGGTCATTCTATTCTTTTTCTCTTTCATTTGATAATGTACTTAAATTCGCGTGTGCACGCACCTGCTAAGTTTTCTTTCATAAAACATAAACAACATTTTCAGAGAATAACAGCTACACAAAAATATTTAAATCTTGTACATTTTTGTAAACAAATTTTGAATTTTACCACTCGGGTTCTTATTCTTACCTAACCGATTATCTGAGCTAATTTTAATATTTTCCGCCGACACTTTGTCTGCCTGCCCTTTAAGAGACAATTCACACCAATCTGTGGTTACATTTTCGGCAGCGTTTGAAATTTCTGCGGTCCTTTTGTTACAGTTATCATTATTTTATAAAGTATACCAATTACCGAATATCAAACAATTTTTCGGACGGTCTGGGACAGGAATTAACCATGATTGGTCTATAGGTGGGAAGATCACCCGTAAATTAAGGAACAATGAAAATAATTCTAGGGGAGCTCAGACGGTATGTCTGGCGACGTCGTTAGACGGTCTTGACATTGATCAGATTATAATCATGTCATGTTCGAACACAGGTACTGAGTTCGATACTCATCTATGATAAAAAAAGGCATGTTAACAGTTTAATTAATTAAATGATTTGTAATAAAATAATCAGGAATGGAGACTACCTAGATTATAATTTTTGACGAGTTGAGACAATAATATTTGTTAATAGAAAGTCAACAGTTGTTAAACCCGAAAAAATGTCAGATTCAAAGATGCATTTGTTCAAGGGACAGACATAAATAGATAAAAACATTAAATTTGAGGAGAAAAGTTATCTTCTATACAGAAGTGTTTTTCTTTAATTCAAATTATATACTACTTAAATCAAAAGAGATTTATGATGTTGTAATAGAAATAATTATTCAAATAATTGTTATAGACTAAGCCCTTTTAATTCAATTAATTCCCATTCATTCCAAAACGGTATTGTCATATCAATTTATTAAATAACTTGTTTTCCTCAACACCAAATTTAAAAAAAAAAGAAACAAGTTGAGAAAATTCCCACGTTTCTTACAAAATAGGAATTGTTGAAAAAATATATTGTATACAAATGGTGTCATATTAGTCGTATTTATTAATTGATTGATTATTGTAAATCCTCCTTGATCACAAATCGGAAGTCAATCAAGTTACGAAAAGTTGCGGAAGGATTAGACAAATATTACCTGTCCGAATTGTGATGCAATTATTACTACATAATATTACCCATAATCCCCTGTAACGGAATTAAGGAGAAACAATATTTTCTCACGGCAATCGGAAATAGGTAACTGTATTGACACGTTAGAGTTTCAAGATGACCAAAACTTTACACGACCTTAATGTGCAATTGATTCAAATTTTTCTCCTTTTTTCCCTTGATTCAGTATAACGGCCCAGATATTATTCTAATGCAATTTCAATTGAAGGTAATTCTCGTAAATTGCATTTACAGTGTTTTGTTGCTCACGCCAGCCTTTTCAGAAATTATTGTTTGTTAACCATAAAGATAAAAAGAATTGTATGGGAACGGGAAGAGAAAACACCTTTCCCATGATGTTCCTGAAAATGCTTCCGAAAAAAACTGTAAAAACGTACAAAAGAGTTGTGAACACCTTTCTTTATACTTCAGATAGACCGATAAACACTTTGTTCTTAGTGTCAATTAGGCAAGTCTTTCAAAAAGTGTGACAGGATTAAAAGAATCCGCAACATTTCTATGTGACTTATGGAAAAAGTTGGTGAGCATTGTGGGAAAAATGGCACCTTATAATGTCAGATACTTCGTGATGTTTTTAAAGGTCGTGTAAATTAAAAATTCTTGCAACACCTTTTCTGAATACATATTTTACAGTTTTCTCACGACTGATATTTTACATTACATTCATATTGTCTTCGTGCATTTTTTTCTTTTGTATAATTAATTTGTAAGAATTTACGTGATGGATGTAAAAACAACTCCTTGGCAAATTGAATGAAATGGCAAAAGAAATGCGTAAGACAACTGACCTTTCTGAAAGCGACAAGGCCAAGGCTAAACATATTTCAACTTATGTTTAGTGTTTTGTTCAATACTGTAGGATTTTTTTTTAAGTAGAGAAAAATAAAAAATTGAACTTACCGCCCTGTTTTTGTTATGATCATTTCTGTGCCAAGAGAGCTGAATTTTGTCCAGAGGTCACGGTTTTCCAATGTTATTTTTAGATTCTTGTCCATTGCCTCGCCCTGGGATCCACCTAACATCCGCTTGTGGTCCGAATGACTCGAAAATGATGGATAACCGCCGAACTGTTGTGATTGGCCGACTGAAAAGAAATCACAAAAATATTTACTGGAAAGTTAAATGTTTAAAAATTATTAAAAAAACAACAACTCAGTAACGCAGCACAACTTGTTTTGTCAGACAATTTTTAAACTTCGAATGTTTACCATGTTGATAGCTCGGGAAAAGCGTGCACGCCATACTTGATTATAAGCACTTATTGTAATATGCAAGAACACACCAGGAAAATATTTTCGTATTTTTCTAGTAACACTTGATTCGTTTGTAGTTTGTAGATATAATGCAACAACATACTATGACTTTTATTTATGTTACTGTCGCTTTACTCGTAATTAAAAAAAAAGTCTTACTCAAAATTTGAGTACCAATTTTTGCGAGAACTAAAGTGAAATTAATAATAAATTAATTGCCCTCGTTTTTCCGCCACGTTGAGTTGAATAATTAACAACTTATTTACATTAAACTTCGCTTTGTTATAATTTTGTTAACAGTTTGTTTTTTTTTCTGCTTAACTCAATTTCTTCTGGATATAATTAAACTGTATGTTCTTCCCGGGTTTCTCCCACTAATTTATACGGACAATTATATTTATTATTATTATTATTTTTACTTTTTTTTTGAAAATGTTCTTACAAAATTCCCAGAGAATGATTACATTTGTTCTTGAATTTCATGCGGCAAGTGTTTTCTCATTTGCATAATTATAATGAATGTCCACGTTTTATTTTTAATATCTTGATATCAATATATATAAATGAAAGAAAAATAAGAGCAATACATGTATTTATACTGTATTATTTTCTGATGAACTATATAAAAACATAAAATAAACAAATATTAATACCCGGATGACAATTGGCTGAATATGAATAAATCATAAAGATAAATAAATTCTAAAATGGAAATAGCAAGCAACTTACATGATGAAAGTCCCATGGGATCGTGCGCTGGATGGACGGGGAATCCAAAGGAGTAAGCCTGTGGGGCGGGCAACATACCGTGTCCTAACGGAAAGCCGCGTGCCCCGCGAGAAATAAGGTCCTCTTCGTACATGTGACTACTTGAGTGACTAGAGCTCGTGCCGTATGTATTTGGGTTACCTCCCGTTCCACTACCACTGTAGTTATTGCCCTGTAATAGCAGCATCTGTAAACAAGTGACGCACGTGAAAATTACGATGTTAAAGCACGTCTAAGGAAGGTGAGTGAGTCACAAGATCACCAGATAATCACAAACAATAATCAAAAAGAAATACATATATGTAATGTTGTACGTGATATCATAAGATAAATTCATGAAAGTATTTATTAATATAAATGTGTAATGATGATAATAATAATAAGAAGAAATCGGCCATTTCAGATTAATTGCAAAGTATGAAAAAATATCCTACAAACATGAAGATGTTTGTTATGCATAGGAAATAAATTTTTTTAAAAATGGCTACACACAAGCTTTAATACAGTTTTGCATTATAAGGCAATGTTTGATTATTTTTTGTTGTTTGACATTAAGAGAAAAATGTTAAATTTCGTTATCTCCGCTATATTAATGTTGTTTTATTTATATTTTTCCTAAGCGTAACTGTGCAATATTTTGCTACCCCGTATTTCAGTATGTGAAAACATTTGTTTGTTAGGCAAAATGATCGCAGCAGTAAATATGTATATAGATCATTTTTATGAATAATTGATAAATAAATAGTATAATAAATGGACACAAGTACATGGACGTTATCCGTTAAATCATACAATATTAATAAAATATTATGATCAATGAAAAAGTGTTCCTTTTTTTATATTCCGGAACAAACTAAAACAAAAATGCTACAACAAAAGTTACTCCAATGTTTATGAAATTATAAAGCCTAACAATATTTCACATTTGCAATATAACGTAAAAATATATGTATATAAATAAAAGACTATTTGAATATATTTTTTTATAAATTGTTTCTATCATAGTTTGTGTAATTTTCAAAGTCAAACAAAAATCCGTTATAATTTATGCCCGACAATAAGTGTTTTGAATATCTCTTTATTCAATGCAATTTCTATAATTTAGATTAAAAAAAAAACAAAACAAAAAAAAACGTACACATAAAAATTAAATCTGTTTTACCATATAACAAAAAAAAAACACTTCACTACAATGCATCACTTACGTTTTATATATATATATTTACTTTTTCCGCTTTTAATTTAGTTCCTACTTGAACGCACACTTTTACTTATATAAATAAAGTAGCGATGTTTCTGTGAGAATCCTTTGTTAAATGGTTTGGAAACTGACGCCCATGTTACAGTATTTGTCACAAAGTTTGCATCTACCTGTATACGTGCCTGCCAATCATTGCAGACTTTCTATTTTTAGAAACACGAGACTCGATTTACCTGAGATACATGTTTGACAGATGCAAGAGAGGGGTGTGGTTACAAAAAATTCCAGCTGAAAATTAGTTTCTATATTTTTTTTGGAAAGTCACGTAGCCCTAAAGGTAAATTGAATTTGTAAAAAGAAGATGCTTATTTTGTCTGCAGTTGGGCTTAGAAATATTTATCTAAACTTTAAAATTAGAAGCAGGCGACACAATTTCGGATATTTGTCCAAGTACATCTCGTATAGTAACCCATAGTACAGTAACGATGTTAAACATAAATAAAATATTTAGTTACTTTATTTAAGGTCTCTTTAATTTTCTGATTTAATTGTAATATTTAGTTTAAAAAAAAACAAATGAAAGCAAGTGTCAAACTAATATATTCTTAGATATATGATAAGATTTTATCTTTTAACATTCAATTCTAAATATTAAAAATATAAATATAGAAGCACCCCTGTTATATACCTTGTCTTCCTGGGGGACCCTTAGTCCTAGCCATAGATGCATTTATTCCAAATATTCACAAAATCACTTGTTTTCTTGTGCAAAATTTTAAACAAAATGATCTTAATACAACATCGGCACTTGCTTGTTTGCAAAGTAATTTTTCGTGTATTTTATGAGCTAAATATGGCAATTTTCGAGTGTTGAAAATAGATGCAAAATTTTACAATACCTTTAACAGCTAAATTGTTGATATTTCCACGATGTCGAATTATTCCAAGTTTTAGGTGTATATCTCACAGAAATTGTGTTAAATCACAAAAACAAATCTTCTATTTGAACATAGCTGTTGACTCCGCCCACCGCGTATTTCTAAAAATCAATCATTGGCGATTTGATTGGCCGCGCCAGTAGGCGGAGTTACGGGTGGCGCGTGACCACAGACAACAGCAGACGATTTTCTCGCATACGAAAGATATTTTACGGTTGAAATGTTAAAAAAAGACAGAACGAATTGTTAATTTAAAGACATTTTGTTAGGACGATATGTTTAATTCCCCGTATCATAATCTAATTCATATGCATATATTTTTAAAAAATTACTGATTAAAAAAAAAAGATTCCATATAATTAAATTACATGTCATTGAAATACATTCAAATGCTAAATTTTTTCTTTCAGTCAAACTGTTGCCATATACAATGGCACACATAATATATTCGTTTGTATTACGTATTTTATATATAAAAAAATTGAATTTCTGGCCCAATTGGAACAATTCAGGACTTCTATGCATTTTCAAACTTATTATTCCAGGGATCATGTCTTGAATTTATATGCTATAGCCTGTATTCTCAAAATTATAGCATCATTAATAGTAGTATATATTTTATACATTTCTTTACAACAGGTTTTTCTTTAAAAAAAGTTTTTTTCTCTATATTTGTTCATACTTTGGAAACACACAATTCTTATTATATAATAATACTGTTAAATAATTTTAAATTATGCTACATTTCACTTATTATATCATTAAAACTTACTTCCCAAATTGGTCAAACTTAATAAATTATATATGTATGGTTTATTCATACTAAAACGTCACAATATTATTTTCAAACTATTTGATATTTTACAAGATATTGAAGTTTCGAAATGACCCAAACTTTATATTTAAATTCACTGAGTCGTATTGTTGCAAATTGTAACATGACTCAAATTAAAATTATTGGTTGCTGTGGTTGTAAATGTTTGAGATTAAATCTTCTTCTTCTTCTTCTTCTTCTTGGAGAAAAACAAAAATTCAGGACCAACACTATAACAACCTTTAAAAGTTGATTTCAATGTTATAATTTTGGCCACGAAACTTAACTAGTGCATGAAATATACTATCTGTTTTGATGATAGAAATATGAAATTGATGCACGTCATATCTTTGGCTTCAAATTAAATCATCTTTACATAAGAAAGATATTTCTTGTTAATGACGATGGTTTTGACGTCAGCTTCGATGTTATTTTTCAAAACGAAGAAAAAAATGTGTGGAAAGAAATACAAAACTTTCAAAAACTCAACGATATTCATAGAATATTGAAGCAAATAATTTACAAGTAGATTTCTGGTATTGAGAATTACAACACTATTCTTCTGACATGGCTAAAATAGCCTCTTTTTAATTGGAAACTCTGAAAAGAATAGACGTACAAAATAAAGATAAATGCTGCTAAAATCTATTTTAGAAAGTAACGTAGGTAGAAGAAATGTTAATATTTTGTTTCAAATTATCTGTATCACGTGTCGTTAGAACGCATCTTCATATAATATATTATACATAATACGTTTATATATAATTTTTACATTTTTACAGTTTCTTGCATAATTATGCATAATTATGCTGTGAATATTGTACATATATTGTATTAATTATTCTGCACGACATTACACCATGCTTGATGTATAAAAACGATATCATTTTTTAATGTTCTGTATAACATACAATGTATTTCGAAAAATTTCGACTATCTATCTGTTTGTATGCTGCTGCTGCTGCTGCTGCTGCTGCTGCTGCTGATGATGATGATAAATTTGGGATGTACTATGGCCCACAATGCCGGTGTGAAGATGGGGATAAACAGGGATATACCAAGTTGAACCTGAACAGAAAATATAATAACAATGTATATCAAAATACTTCTTAAAAGTAAAAAATGTTCGATGGGATATTTCATTTGACAAACTATTGATATTTTTACTGATATTTCATTAAGCACATCTTGGCAATAATGAGCATACAACGTCATCATTAAAACTTGTACAACATGTTTTAAGATCGCCATCTCCGACCTAATAATATATCTTGTGTTTTTTTCTAGGATATATATTCATTATATTATAGAAATAATCCTATACATTCCCCTATTTCAAACTTGATACATATTTAATTTTAGGATAGTAACCTGATAGCTTTCATTAGTAAAATAAGAACCTCTCTTGTCATTCCTGGCGTTAATAGTTGTACAGATATGGTACCAACTTGACTTTCCTAACATGTATGCATTATTGTCTATATTGTAATTAACATGAGATGGAGGACGAATATCACAATATTATCATTATGACCCTGTACTTCTACATGCGTAAACTATTGTGGAACGAATACCAGTCCATTTTAGTATGATAAGGTATATAATTGAAAATATGTTTTGATATCAAAGAATGAAAGATATGAAAGTATCTATCCAGCTCACACAAAATGATCAACAACAACAACAAAACCCTACGATTCTGTTAATTTCAATCAATGTACATATATGTATACTATATATAGAAATAAGACTTTCATGTAAGCATGAAAGACACATATTCAAATAATTGAAGTGTATTGGGCTTCTTTAGGCCTATATGATGCTCTTTCTTTCCCATATAAAAAATAAGGATTCGCTTAATAGGGCAAAAATAGGTATATCACACATTTTATTTGTCTTAATGTATAAACGATTTCGATCAATATTATTTTCTGAAATTTAAATTTTACGCATTATTAACTTTACTGGCGCATCCCTTGTGGCGGCATTTGTTTCATATTTATATTTAATTTCTTAACACCTGTTAAAATTTAATTTTAATTGAAAGGTGTGAATGACGGTGTGCTAATTAAAGAAGTTATTATTTAACCGATAAAAGATGATCCAAGCGTAAAACTATTTGAATTAATTAAGTGATAATTGTTAAGAATAATCGACATATTGCAGAATCGCGTGAAATTTATGACAAGGACTTTTTCAAATTTTTGAAACATCTCATGTACTCCAGAAAATTCTCTATTAGTATAATTGATATTATACTTTCTCTATTCATATATTGATGCTAAAAGCATTGTATAATGTTTAGAGCAATACAGATTTTGAATTTACAAATTGAATTGAATTATTAAAATTATATCAAAAGATGTTCGTATAATTATTCTGTAAATCGTCCAGGATTTTTTTTAATGTTTACAAAATAATGAGAAAAAACAATCAATTCTTATTTTTGTTTCCAGATTTCATTGTTTTTATCTTTTGTTCTGTTTAAAATAAAAATCAAGACATGTTTGTATGCCACCATGCAAGCAAAAGCCGTATTTGGAGAGGTTTCGTGGTGCAATGGTAACAGACTGGTTTAGCTATAAATAGAGCGAAGGTTCGATCTCCCCGCAACATCAATAGATAATACATGTATATGTACTAATTAATAGTCTTTCAGATGGGACCTTAAAGACCGACGTCCCATGCATCGAGCATGTAAAAGAAAACCAGATTCGCCGCTAGCACGGGGCAAAACCAGATTCCCCGTTAGCACGGGGCAAAACCAGATTCGCCGCTTGCACGGGGCAAAACCAGATTCGTCGCTAGCATGGGGAATTGAGATGCTGTATCCAAGGACTTCTCTCCGAAAAAAAAATCAATTCACTCTACATGTCGCGACCAAATATGGGCAACCGAATTGCGACGTTAAGTAAAAACAAAACAAAAAAAAAACATTTTATTATTGTAACAAAGCCCGTAAACTACCACAAAAAAATCGTCAGTCTGTAATGAATTTATTAATCACAAATATTTTGCTTTTTACTCATCATCCCTTGATACCAAAATATGACTTAACTTTAATATTCTCGCGAAAAACTTGACGTATTTCGGACATTATCGATTATTTGGACAAGGGTGTAACGTAAGTTTAAAAGGTCCCAGAAATAACGCTGCAGTTTGTCAACGGAGTGAGGAAACTAGTGAAATGTGATCCGACTTTTGTATAAAATTAAGGCAAAAGTGTTCACTTTTATGAGAACCGACAACTTCTGGAGAAATATTGCGTGACATGGGTGAAAAAATGCCAAAAAAGCCAAGAAACATTTTAACCAGGAACTATTTTTTATCGTCTCTGCCTATTTTGTTTAGATCATTGTTACAATAAAGACATTTGTTTTTATTCTTTGGAGAGAAAATTCATGCGAGAGGGACACAACCTGAGTGGACAAATACGATCTTTACTTTCTCAAGGTGAACCACAGATTTTATTGAATTAAAACGTGCGTGAACATAAACTCATCATATAATTTTGTAGGTGATTCCAAACTCTTTTTTAATTTGTATACAACTTTCTTATTGTCGAAAATGCCAGTTTTGCTGTATATCTAACGACAGATTTTTAAACGGAATATTGCCGTTGATGTGAATAATGGTAATTTTCATGCATGTGTTGGCTTGATGCATAACTTTGTAATGCAAAAGACGTGGATTTTAGCTTTCCATCATTTATACATTGTTTGCAGTTACCCCTTATATCATTATTTCAATTTCTAGTCAATACTAAAATTTCACTGTAATAGCAAATGCTACAATGCCTCTCAGACTCACAGGCACAAACTTCGTTGTCATAATGCTCTTTCTGCGCAAAGAGCTTGAAGGCGGCACATTAAGCTTCGGAAACAAATTCATTTTTACTTCTTTGGAAAGGGCTAACATGACTTTTATAATGTTTAAATGGAGAATGCTTTTTACTTAAATAAAGTAGCAATAAATGTGAACTATTTTGTCATGAAAGTAGCAAAGTGTATACAAGTGGTATACAAAATACTCATTTGCTATAAATGTAATTTTTGTCAAAAAGTAACAGATGAAAGAGATGGTTCAGGTTATTGGCCAATGAGTAGCTTTTTGGATACATCAAAAGTACAGCAAATATTATAAAGCTTTTGAGAAATACAATTATAACCATTTATGAGGCTTAAAACAGTCACTTACACATATGATTACATGTAAAATGTATAACACAAAATGCAATGCAGAGGGAGTTCGGTATCAACGGTGTTAAAAAAC